CCTATTTACCCTCCCTGGCCGTAACTTTACCTGCCGCTCCTACAGTATAAAGGGGCGGTCAATTGGACTCCAGTTGCAAGTCCCTGCAATCAGTTTTTGCGAGCGATATTAGGCTTTTGTGCTTGAAGCGATGCGGGTCTCTCCGCCATTAGGCAGGGACGCTAGGTACTTCCTTGTCCCCATGGAGCTGGTCACGTGACGTAAAAATTCCTCTTGGCCGCGGCCGCGGCCGCAGCCGCAAGATGAGCAAGCCGGCCCTGGCCTAGGCAAAGTAGGGGCCATATTTCATGCTCCTGCTCCTCGCGACATTAAGCAGCTTCAGAGCTTCCTATGGTTGATTAATTTCTACAGACGTTTCCTTCCTAACCTCTCTGAACGCCTGCAGCCACTGCACTTGTTTCTTACCGACGGGAAGAAGTGGGAGTGGGAAAAAGACCAAGAAGAGGCTTTTACCAAAAGCTAGCAATTGATGACGTTCGCTCCGGTTCTAGCTCATTTCAATCCAGAAAAGCCGGTTTGTCTAACTTGTGATGCATCACCATACGGAATTGGTGCAGTTCTGGCGCACTGTGAAGCCGATGGCCAAGAGCGACCCATTGCTTTTGCATCAAAGAGTTCGTTCCGAGCAGAACAAAACTACAGTCGACATGACGAAGAGGCATTAGGCTTGGTCTACGGGGTGGAACGGTTCCACCAGTACTTGTGGGGACCCCTTTTCTAGCTTTGACAGACCAGAAGCCGCTGCTGGGACTGCTGAGTGCTGACAAGCCAGTTCCTGTCCACGCGACACCTCGGTTTGTCAGGTGGGCACTCAAGCTTTCAGCGTACAAGTACCAGCTGACCTACAAACCAGGAAGGAATTTAGGTCATACTGACGCACTCAGTAGACTCCCATTACCTGGGAGCAACGTTGAAGAGAACGTACCGGCTGACGTCTTCATGCTACAGCACGCATATCCGAATCTTCTTTCACTTACCGTTGTGGCTGAAGCCACAAAGAATGACACTGTTCTGGGACATGTCGTTCTCGCTGTTCCCAGAGGAGAGAACCTTGCACTAGCATCAGAAACAAGCTCTTTTTTTGCAAGGAGTTCAGAGCTTAGCCTGCATGAGGGTTGTTTGCTCTGGGGAGCACGCGTGGTGATCCCAAAAGTGCTGCAGGCTCGAGTCCAGGATATGCTTCATTCCAGCCACCCAGGCATCGAGAAGAGCAAAGTGATCACCAGAAGTCACGTCTGGTGTTCGGGTATCGATAACGACATAACCCACCATGTGAAGAGCTGCTCGATTTCCCAAGCTCGTCAGCGGGCTCCACAACCAGTTCAACAGACGCCCTGGCCATTCCCCCATTAGCCTTGGTGCAGGCTTCACATTGATTTTGGAGGGCCATTTATGGGGCATACTTTTTTGGTCATTACGGATGCTTTTTCAAAATGGGTCGAAGTGTTTCTTGTCTCGTCAACTTCTGCAGAGGCTACCATAACAGGCCTGCGAATGGCCTTCGCTCAGCACGGTCTACCAGATCTGATTGTGTCAGACAATGGGCCTGCATTTGCAAGTGAGCAGTACTTGGACTTCCTAACATGCAACTGGATACGCCGCATGCTGGTGCCGCCATATCATCCAGCGTCAAACGGGGCAGCGGAGCGTGTTTTATAAACCGTTAAGAACAAACTCAAGAAAAGTGGCTCTGGGGATTTTCAGACTCGGATTTCCAGATTCCTGTTTCATTACAGGACTACTCCGCACGAGGTCACGGGCAGAGCACCATGTGAGTTGTTGACGGGAAGGATGTTCAAGACGCCGTTGGATGTCCTGCGTCCCAGCCTCCAATCATCAGTGCTGCTCAAGCACCAAAAACAGAAACTGTATACTGATAAAGGCTGCCGACAGGGACCCCCGCTCAACCCTGAGGAGAACGTGTTCGCCAGGAGATTCTGCTAGGTTATGCCCTGGGTGCCTGCTCGAGTCGTCGGCGCCTCAAGTCAATCTTCAGCGCAAGTCTGCCTCGAAGAAGGCACACTGTGGCATCGGCACGGTGATCACCTGCGTTCCAAACCGACCGACGTCCCTACAGCAGCTACGGCCGAGGCAGAGACGTGTCAACCTGTTGGTGCTGCAGTTCAGTTGGGACCCCAAGGATTAAATAAGAGTCAATCTGCTGGTGCTCCGGGCGCCCTGTTCAAGCCAGGCGAAACAAGCGTGGGTGCAAGCGACAGTGTTGCAAGCACTGGGGTAACTCCTCATCCTACAAGCATCAGTCCACCCCAGCTGCGCCGTAGCAAAAGGACTAGGAGGGCCGTGCAGCGGTACTCCGCTTAGCTGTAGCTTGTCTTTGTACTCTATAGGGGAGGACTGTTATATTCTTGGCCAGCATGTAGCGCCACAAGGTCCCCTGGTAGCCTCGCGTGACGATGTTTGGAAGTGCGGCGCTCTATATTAAACAGAGGGCCACACGGCTCTCTTAGTTAGTGTTCTGTTGGAACCGAACGACGTGTGTCATGCTTCCGCTTCTTTCCGCCGACGAACGTTGGCCGGTTGGAAGCGAGTTCGGTTTACATTTGTAACAGCAGTCTTAGTATAACCACAATTGAGAATATTTTCTTCTCCTAGTCAATCGCAACCTCGCCTGACACGAAGTGCAGTCTACAAACCCTTAGTTGGTGAACGAAGCTTTCCTGTCAATATTATACCTAATATAATAATTTAGAGCGAAATGTACCACGCATTTGGCCGCTTCAAAGCGGGAAAGAGTAGACGCGGGTTTCGGCGATCCTAGTTGGCAGTCCAATTAAGCACGTATGCTGGCGACGCCTTAATATGCACAAAGAAGCAGCAAACCAGTCTCTGTAAGGTCTGTACCTTTTTTTTTCTTACTTTCCATAAACACATCTGACTTGCGCGTGGACAAAATAAGATAAAGTTTACAAGCGCTCGAGCAATTTCAACATGTCGCCGCGAAATTAACACGACTAAATCTGCCTTTTCTAACATGCCTTCAATATAAAGCCAGTTATGTTGTCACTCAAACATAAACCATTATATGCCAGTGTGTTCTTGCAATGTTGATGCGCCAGCGTTACTAACAAGCCAACATTGGCCATTATAAGCTCCTGTTAATCCAACGCTGACAAGCCAATGGTACAGACAAGTCAACATTGTGTATTTTATGCCAGTAACTATCAAATATTGAAATTCCGATGGCTCGGACAGGCCATCCTCGACCATTTTATATGGCGTTTATCCAATGTTAGCAAGCCAAGGGTACTCTGAGTTTGACATGGACCGTGTTATGCCAGCATTCATCTAATATTCGCAAGCCAATCAATTGTTTAGTCCAAGATAGGCCATTTTACGCAAGTGTTTATACAATAATCGCACGACAAAGAACCTGACAGGCCAATATTGCCCATTTTATGCCAGTGTTCATCCATCAATCGCTAGCCAATGGAACTGACGGGCCAAGATTTCCCATTTTATGCCAATATATTTCAATATAAACTGGTCATTGGATAAGCTGGGTCATCACTGAAGCATCTATATAATGGCATCGACCGCCTGGCTGCCTCCATGCTTCTGCTCATGCGGTCAATCCCGTGAAATCGCAAGCTCGCCGAAGCTATGTTCACGCGCAAGCTGCCCGTGAAGCACTCATGGGGCATCCAGTCGGAGTCTCATGCTTGCAATTGTCTACAGACATTCCCAAAAAGAGCTCCTGGGCGGTTGCATTTTCAGATTTTGTCCGTGTGGCGCATGATTTCCTCAATTTCCGGAGTGACGAACATGGACGTGCCGGGCTGAGAAGTCATGCTGTGCTGGGGACTTGAATAGTGTGAACGATTTCCATTTCTGGCATTACCCATATTTCGACTGTTAGAGTTGTTTTGACAGTTTATCTACTCTTTGTTTGAAATCATCGTTGTCACGCAGTATTTGATCTATTTGTCCAGACAAACCATCATTTTGTCGTGTATTTAACTGAACATTTTCTAAAGCCTACGTTTACCGTTTCCATGCATTGTTCAGAAAAACAAAAATGCAGGCATTACTTCAGAATCGCTAAGGGCATTTTAAAGTGATCCAGAAATATGGATACGGTTCAATATTGGCATTGGAGGACCTTCGGAGGTGCGTGTATCTCTGAGCATTTTTGTTGCCGATGTATCAATTAAATTGAATTTTTGAATAGCTCGCAAAATGTACGTGCTGGGGTCCTCTATTTTTTGGGGGTGGTGATTTGTCTATGACATGAGGAATGCATATAAAACCCCGTAAGGAAATTTCATTGAACCTAGTGTCAGTGTGAACTCGGACTTGGTTAAAAAATGTTTCTTTTTGAACTACATCATTGCATGCATAAAAAACTATTATACACCAAGGTAGGTTATGAATTAGCACGGTAGCGACCAAAGTCAACCAGCATCAGCGCCTTCGACGGCACTGCAGATTTTATTTTAATGATTCCTTTTAAGCAAAAAATCGCATCCAGAAGAGCACTCAATTGCAGGGGTGAGAAATATGTCACAAATCCCTCAGTGAAAACAGTTCATATAAAAAGTGGCATAAATTATTTAGTTCTTTTTTAGAGAAGCATAGCTGTGATATGAACACATTACAAGCAACAAATATGTCACAAATCCCTCCGTGCAAGGTCAGCAGAAAGCAGGGCGTGGTTTTCTGACATATTTGTTGCTTGTAATGTGTTCATATCACAGCTATGCTTCTCTAAAAAAGAACTAAATAATTTATGCCACTTTTTATATGAACTGTTTTCACTGATTTCAAGGGTAGATATACTGAATTCGAACGGTGCCATCGGATACTAAAGTCATGTTTAGTGTAGGTATCCGATCGGGTAAAATTAGTTTTTCTCCGGTGCTTGAATTGAGGCTTTCTCCTTTCTCTTGAAGGTCCAATATGCTGTGCTGAGCTTTGCCACCAATGGGCACTCTTTGGATCTTCCGGCTATTTTTAAACGTTTAAGACCAACTTGCTGTCACTTTTTTTTTTTCACATACTTCCGTCCTTTGCCTCGCCCCCCAGTGTCTTAGAGGTTTGTTTTGGCTGATTTCTTCTCAGTCTCAGTCTCTGAAGCAGCTCGTGCATGTTGATGATGCATTTCTTTGAGGCGAGCTGCATCTGCTTTCCCAGTTGGTCACAGGCTGACACACCTGCGACGGGCATCTGAAAGTAATTTAAACAAAACCAAAAATCATCTAACTTCTGCAACTTTCACATTTTGAAAACAATCACAAACATTTATTAAGGGAATACATCACCGCATGACGGAAAATACATAGCATACAACTCCCAATTGCAAAATGTTCTGCCAGCAAAATAACTTCCAAACCCAAATTGTTTCAATTTCATAAAATAATGAGATTATAAAAATAAACTCACATGCTGTATTGCATTCGTCTAGCATTCGTAAGAATGGTTCTTTCTAGTACTAAAAATTGAGGCATCAAAGTATGTGCCAGAAAACTGAGGAAGAGAAGGATACGAGAGCGCACGGGGAAGTCAGAACGCCAATCTCTGATTGGAATAAATAGTAGGTAGACGGAAAGCTAGCTGCCGTTGTCTCCACCGCATTCGTCGAACGTGTTCGAATGCGAAAACCAAAGGTCGGACGCCAGGCATTTAACCAGGGTGTCTAGCAAAATATTATTTTTAAATTCCCCGACTGTTCCAGATTTTCCCTGACAATTTCAGGTGAAATTCTCTGACCACTGTAGAGGCGGTTAAATATACAAGATGACTACAACATAAGGCATTGAGCACAGTAAGGGTCATTTTGCAGGGGCTTAATCCAACCTGCATATTCCGAAATATTCAGGTTTGGCCAGTCCACATTAGACGAGTACTTTCTTTCCGCCGACATTGTCAGTGAAGAGCCCAGTTCCGGAAACATGATGAAAACACGACGCTTAACCACACACGTCAATAACCAAATGGCAGCACAGTCGCCAGATGCACTTTCGGATACTTTTGGCTAAAGGCTTGGGTTAGGTCGGGGTCTGCGGCTTTTCCATTTGTTACTAAATCTAGTAACTAACTGGATGTAGCCTTGTGTCGCGCCCTCCATCCAATCCAAGGCTTGGACTGGATTCGTCGGCTGTTCCCTTTGCATCGGGTAGTACAATACGTTGGATGAGCAGAGCCTGTGCTCCGCTTTAAGCAGAATTTATTGTAAGTTTTTCTGCCCCGAAGTCTTCAAGCCTTTGCTCAGGGCACTCCAGCGTTTCCGGCTCATTTTTCCTGACTGGGCTCGCTTTTTGACAATATCCCTGACAATTCCCCGATTTTTCCCGGTAATTAAAATTTCCCTGACAATACCCGGTTTCCCCGGTCGCTAGACACCCTGTTAACGTTCTAACACGTTCGAAGAGTGCAGGGGAGACAAAGGCTGCTAGCCTTAGGCCTGCCCACTGATCATTCGAATGAGAGCTTGGCATTCTGACGTCCCCGAGTGTCCTTCTACTATCCTCTCCATCAGCTTCTTGGAGCATACTCCTTTCACTTTCTGCCCAAGTTTCCAATGAAAAAGGGTTTTTGGTCTTCAAATAAGCACTATGTCAACTCAGAAAATCTACACCCTGAACAAGTTCTATGAAAATTCCGTTAGACCCACCTTCTAATCTCTTAAGCCTCGTGTTCAAAAATATTTGGAGTACCAAGAACAAGCTGCACTATCATTATACTTAATGGAAGTGTAGCCACATAATCTTAGTATAGTATAATTAAAACAATATTTTATTCATGAACAGGAACTTTTAGTTAAGGAAATCATCCCTGCAGTTCATTAAGCACACATTTTAGTTTAGACTAGAAAAATGTAAGCCAGAAACACTCAAACCCCGGAATTAATAAGGAAATAACTTTATTTGTGCTTATGTAGACTTATTTTTCGCGCGCTCGATATTTCGCAAATAAGGTCGAAGCTGAAGTTTTGAAATAATTCGCGGGTTCTAATTTTCGTGATGCAGAGGGATCTCGATATAGATTCCAATGTGTTTATATTTTACCGGAATTGTTCGCGGGACCTACTTTTTCCGCAATTGTAGGCGATTCGCAAAAACGATTCAACAGCAACCTCAACCATGCGATTTGTCAGCAACCTCAACCATGGGGTTGCTGTCACATGCCTTGCTTCGACGCTCTTATTCGGTCGGGAAGGCCGCAGCCTCCACAGCTCATCAAGTTACCGTGAAACAGAGTATAGTTGCTGCACTCTGAGGAAGGGTAAAAGATCGCAAACTGAACATGCCCAGCACCTGGAAGAAGGTATAGGACATACACTTTGAGGTTAACAAGCCATACGCCAGATAAGGTGCTTCGTCCGTGTTGAATGGTTCCAGAAATCTATCGATGCTCTTGCACCAGCAGAGTTCAATCGTTCATTATAAAAAGCAAACCAACAAAACTGCAAGACGTTCGGCAAAAATAGGTTACAGCGTCTGCAGGAATCTGTGCTTTTGGTTTGGGACTTCAGAGAGATGAGTTCAATTCTCTGGAAATTAGAAACCTCCGTACAATACCGCGCATCCGCCCATTCCACATTAAGCGCCCATATCCAAATTTCTGATATATGAAAAAATGTGCACGGTACATTTATATGTAAAATTGATGATCGGGCAAGCGCCCATCCCCCATTTTTTCGCGATTATCTCTACATTTTGAGTGGGCGCTCGCCCGGTATATTATGGCACGTATATTCTGAAAGAATTTCTGTTCTGCATTTCAGGGTTGTCTCGTTAAAATAAAAAAATAAATACCAGAAAAAAGTACTAACCTGATATGCACCTATGAAGTCTTGTTTTGGCTAGCAGTGACGGGCCCTGGTTAGCAATGACTCAATGTCCCCAGGATTGAAACGATGGTTAAGTAACTTCCACTCTTATGCACTTTTTGGTACAACTGGAAGAGACAAAACATCTTGTTAAAAATTACCAATCCTTTTCACGTGCGAATTTTGCAGTTCATGCTTCCTGAGTGATTTCCCACAATATTGTTAAATTAGGACAATGCGAGCAAAGTTGTTTCAATAAAGGGCCCCTGAAAAGAAAAACAAAATGTTTTTTTTTTAAACAGTCTGGTTGGGACACGCGTCAAATAATTAATTTTACGTAAAAAAAAAATTGCTCAGAGCAATAGTGACGGCGCGAGACGCGATTTAGTCGGTAGTCGCCTCCTTTCCACTTGTTTCCTCTGGGCATTTCGAGCGAGTAGAGGAGAAGGGGATCAGCTTCGCCTTCATGTAGAGGTGGCGAGAGTGAATGACCATTTCATGACGTCATAGACTTTGCGCGCAGAATTTAAAATAAATCTCTCGCTATCAATATTGCTCTAAAAAATTAATTCTTTTCGCAAAAGTCATATTTGGGGGTTTTTACGTGCCAAACCAACGACGGGCATCCGGCACACCCCAGCGGAGGACTGAGGATTAATTTCTACCACCTGGGGATCTTTCGACGTGCAACCGAAAGCTCGGTTGCACGTCAAAAAAGCCTTTTGTGACTTCTTAGGACGGGACGCGCTAAGAGATCGTAAGGGGCTTGAAAACCGGTCTGGTCTCACTCAGTCTTATTCGGTCGCAAGAGTGCGAACGGGCCTTAATGCTTCCTGCACAAAAAATTCAAATGTAAGAACACAAGCCCCAAAATTTTTGTGCCATTCTCCTCCCCCTACTTTTTTGTTCGTTTAATTTGTTTCCTCCCTTGGCAAATCCTAAAGAATTTGAAGTGCTTATCCTACGTCCTTCCGTTAGACTGAGTGGGTAACCCAGAGAATTCATTGTTCGTGAGGACACTTTTCCATTCACCTCATGCTGTTCTTGAAAGCAGAAACCCCTCTCCCTTAACCATAGTCATTAAGCACTTTTCATAGACCATACACACAAGGTTGGCAATGCCAGCACAAGCTCATGTCTTCACTTTGAGCATGGATTAAGCATACATAACTAAATCTGAGACACCGGAAGAAGGAAAAAGAAGTACACCAAAAAGAGGACGACACACATAATGTCTCGAACACAGCTGCAGGTTCATTCTAATACCACACCATTTTATAAGGGTAAACCGCAGTCAACGCCAAGAACCCTCACACCAAGTCACACCCCCAGACTGTCAGCAAGGGCGAACAAAAGAAGAACTGCCCTCGACGCTCCCACACTTGCCAAAATCAACCCACCGACTAACAAGTAAAAAGAAAATGCAGCTGTGGTTGAGACGTGTTGCGTTGGTCATTATATTTTTCTTTTGTCTCAGGTTTAGTAATGTTTGCAATTCACCAGCCTTGCCTGTACTTTTACTCTTCTCTCAATTAAGAATACGCCTGCAATTCGCAATATCTGATCTACGGAAAGTCTCTGTTCCACCAAGCCTTTTCCATTGTCAAATGAGCAGGCACTATTTATAAAAACCTCCTTTCATTACATTGTTTCAGATAACAATTATTCTTTCTTAATTAGGATCAACTGATCATATTAGGATAATTGCCAAATAATGGCAAGTTCACACGATACATTGAATTGCAATTTTTATTCGTGCACCATTTGTCAAGTTACCATCATGTAGGCTATTCCTGTGATTTGTCCCTCGTCCGCGGACACCCATACTGAAAGGGCAGAGTGCCTTTCTAATCGCAGATTTTTGGCAAGTGAGTAACTGGAAAAGCGTTTTTACGGTAGAGTAGCAACAGCTCACCAATACTTTTTTTCAAATCAGCCAAATAAAGAGAGAGGATCATTGTTTTGTCGCGCCACTCTTAAATCTCGACGCGTGAAAGAAGCTGAAAGAACTTTGCACGGCTGACACGCCGCAGGTTCTGGTACTCCTCCAGGTTGGTGTCAAGAAGCTTGTCAAGACTTGCCTAGCACGCTCCAATCTTTCCTGCACATCCACCCAGTTTTCCATCCAGCAAGACCTTTCTTATGGCTGTAGTGTGCTGAAGAGTGGTGTACAAGCGAGCAGTGTGTAAAGGCATTTCCAAATGCCTCTCCACGACCCCAAGACTTCATCGCTATGATGCTGAAGCCTCCTGAAGGAGGATCATACTTGTGTCATGTCGTTAGTAAAGTAAGTGACACTTCGCACTAAGCCTGCCACTATGTGTTGGCTCACTTTGTACGTACATGATAGCACCGTGATCCTAGTCGTAACATCACTTCTGCTCTTGGAAAACGGTGCCACACTGCGATGTTAGCGTTTTCCAAAATTGCAGGGCTGCGAGTAGGTTCAGTATGTCCTTGCTGTCGCCTGCTCGTCTCCTTTGTGTGGATGCGCTTGGGGGACTAACGTTCCGTGGACGTCTTGTCACGTGATAAACCCATCCGCGGATTAGCACGTCGTGTAAATCAGCCATAAGTGGACTGCGGAGTCTGCACTCATTTAACATTTTTGTTGACGTTGCCTGCACGTCATGAACGTGTGTTTTGTATCCAATTAGATATTCTCGAAGAAACGAGGAACTGCATAATGATGTCGCACAATATTCACCTTTACCCCTTAACCGGTTTTTCTTCTTGAGCTTTTATCCTAATTTTTTTTCTTTTTTAAAGCCTGTGCGGCTTGGGCCGCACGCGCCTCCACAATCGGTCGCCATCCTTAAAAACGTGTACAATAAAAAAATGTGGGCTTCCATCTCTCAGCTGCACCGCAAACTAAGCTCGGAACGGGCCTGGGACGTCCAAAACAGCCAAGGGGAAAGGTAGGGTGCGCGGACGTGCTACACTCCTTCTAAACGCCTAGGGGACGGCTCTAGGTGGACGAGCTAGGATTGTTTAAAACGGTTAAAGGACACATGCAAAGGAAAATAACTTTTTTTTTAAACAGCCGGGTTAGGAAAAGGAAGTCATAAAACAAATTTGCAACGAAAAAGAAAAACTTTTAGAGCTATATTTACGGTGCTAAACGAATTTGTAGTTGGCGCCCGCGGGCGCCGCGGAGAAGTGGCTTACATTTATCACGTGATTGGCCGCTATTTAACACATGGTACTTGCACTCTTTCGGAAGCATCCTACAGTCTCGAAAAGTTACTTTTTATCTTCGTTTAAAGTGCAATAAAAAACAAAGATTAATAAGTTACTTTCAGAGCCCAAAGGAAGCTCCTGAAAAAGCGCAAGCAGACGTGATAAACCTGTACACCGATAAGATGACGGCGGCGGCACCCCAGAGCTCACAAACTTGCACGGCGACGGTGGCATTGCCGTGAAGAAATGCATTGGAGCGGCGGCACATAATGCTCAGCATGCGGCGGCGGCGTGACTTTGCAGCTTCGGCGACACAGCGCGGCGGTGCACAGGTCTAACACGTGACCAGCGGCGGCTCTCACGGGCGCCAACTACAAATTCGTTTTGCGCCATAAATATAGCTCTAAAAATTCTATTTCTTCGTTGTAAATTCGTTTCATGACAATCTTTTTCCATCTAGGGTGTCTAAAAAATTTTTGTTTTCCTTTGCATGTGTCTTTTTGGGGTTTAAAGAGCTCCAGTACCTTCCATATCATTGAACCTTATGTAGTAGTATATGATTCTAAGTTACAAGACTAGGTTACAGAAAGTAACAAGAAAGAGGTAGGCAGGACGTCATATTGTTTCATATTCTCATTTTTCCATCAGTCCCGTACTAAAAGGTTTTCATATTAAAACTTAGTTGTATTTTATCTACACTTCTCTTTCTCACAACGTCCTGTCTACCAAATGGACCAGCGAAGTAAACCTCCCCCCCCCCCCCCCGCCCCAAACATACACACAACGCACAATAGAAATTTCTGGACGCAACCTTCCATGAATGTATTGGGCATCTGAACCAAGCTGAAGAAACATTTTTGGTCTGAGGAAATAAAGGGTTACAAAACTGAAAAACATGGCAGTAGCATACTTTTCACTTTTGCACGTGTAAAAGAACAATTCATTTCTATTAGAAAGGTAGAAAAGCCAAAGGCTATCAGGTTGCTCACCGACAGCAACTACCAGGAAAGGGGCGGGGGGGCATGATTGTGAAGGCAGCTGGTCTCCAATGCTTGTGCCTTTCTGAAAGTTGGAAGTAAGACTTTTAAAGAAAAATGACCCCAACTATTGTCACAAAACATTCTTTCATTCCATTTCTCATACCAAAAACGTTGGTATGAGGAACTTTGCCGGGCTGACACGATGCAGATTCTGGTATTAATCTGCGTCGAGAAGCATCTATCAAATCGTGTCTAGCACGACGCAATCGCTTTGCATCTCCAATCAACCGGTCAGCCAGCAAGACCTTTCTTGTAGGGAAGTCGCGAACTGGCCGAGGTTCGAGTTCGACCAGGTTCGACTTTTTCTAACTTCTTGCGAAAAGTTAGAAAAGGTTCGACTCAGGTTCAACTGCTATTCGCATGCGCGACGTGCTGGCCAGTTGGCTTCGGATTGGATGGTGATGGCTAAGGGATGAATTAAGGGCAGCACCGATTAAGGGCAGTTAATACAGTACAAAAAAGTAAGTTATTCACTTTTTCAGTGGTTAGAGTTAGTTTCTTTTATTTGCGACTGTTTATAAAATTAAAATAACCCTTTGAGTGAAAAAGCTTCTGCAGACCTAGACATGCTTGTATCACAGTCTTGCCACGCTGTCCACAAAGTCAAATCTGGTTAAAAGTTTCGAAGGTTTGTCGAACCGGTTTGACCCAGTCGAACTCCGAGTGTTTGACCTAAAAATCCGGTTTGCCAAAAGTTTGCGGCACCCCTACTTTCTTGTGGCTGTGGTGTACTGAAGGCGCGAGCACGGAGTGAGTGAAGGTGTCTCCAAATGCCCCATGGCGAGCCCAGGACTTCGTCGCCTCTACGCCAAAGCCTCCTCGAGTAGGACTATGCTTGTGTTTTTGTCATGACTTCGTTTAGTAAAGCTAATGGTGCTTCGCACTAAGCCTATCGTGGTGTTCAGTCTCCCTCTGCACGTAACAGCGGCGCAGACTTCTTTTTTAAAGTAGAAAATGTTGATTGCGATCTGGGACAACGATGCCACAGTGTGATCGCACAATGTTAGAGTTCCCCAGCAGTGTGGGGCCGCGAACTCGTTTAGTACGTCCTGCCTGTCGTTTGTGAGTGTGCTCCTTTGTGTGGATCAGTTCGTCGTATGAATCAGCCATGAATGAAGAGTGCTGTGCATTTTGAACTTGATATAAATTAACTGAGCAGCACCATTTTGTGGAATGGCAAACCCGCCTAAAACACCTTGAGGTGTTTATGTTAGTTTTGGAACTGGCATGTAAGTGCCAGTGCATAAGGCCCGTGCAGCACTTGTAAGCAAATGGCAATATAGCCCTGAAATGAGAGATACTTGGAAGTGAATTATTTGCAGCTCCGCAGAAAACTTCTCGCCTCTGCCTTTTCATAAAGTCGACTATCATTGCCCCGACCTCAAGAACTCTTTGTTATCATCTCCGGAATGAACATCATCTCGCCTCATCATCTCGTATTTCCAGTTGCACAAACGCATTCAATCAGACTTTCCTTTCTCAAGCCATCTTCGACTGGAACAGCCTACCATCCACCATCGTAGACCCAGAAGTATTTCTAGCAAGCTTACAGATTAACTTTTCTTGTTATAAGTATTTTATTGCCACTGTGTATGATTAATGAGCTTCCTTTTCTTGTTTGTATTGATTTGTATAACATGTATACATCCTCCCCCTTATGCAATTCCCTAACCGGGCCCTTAAGGTGAAAATAAATTAAATGAAATGATTGGCAACACAGCACTCACTCGTGGCACGTGTCTCTCGCATTCGCACAATGAAGGCTGAACCGCATGTAAGCGGTTTAGCAAGCAACAAGACGAGCAACTGGGACTTCTCACTGTCGCTCGGTTTTTGGATTTCCAGAATATGTCGCTCAATGACTTGATCGCTTGCTCCCGTCGCTTTCAAGCGATTTACCTTGTTACGAGACTGAATGAGTGATAGCAAAAAGGTTGCCATCGCTTGTCTCGTCGCTCGCTCAATCGCTTACACGTAATTTACACTTTATGGCTGTTGGCGCTTGCAAAAATGTAAAGCGTGAATTTTATTTCTTCTTCCCGACTCTCAGACTGCTGCGAAAACTTTGGGTTCCAGTTAAATGAAACCACATGATTTCCCACTTTGCTTATGAACTGAGGAGGAAAGCTGAAAAGGAAGTAGCTTGAAAATCAGCTTATGGTCTTCTCAAGAAAGTTGTTTGGAACACCTTTTTTCCTGTTTTCTTTGGCACTACTCAATGCGCATTTTTTTTCTCCCGGCCTTCACAATAAAGTATTGCCAGAGGGTCAGTAAATAAGCGCTACATATACAGCAATTTGTATAAAAAGTCTGTGCCACAGTCGAAAAAGAACTCCTTATACTCTTCGCAAGCAACGTCGCCAATACAGACGCTACTTCCAAAGGCGCACGTCACGCAATATTTCGAGTAGTTTCCGAGGACGAAAATTGAACTTGGATCCGACCTCCCACAGTGGAAACAAACGGGGTGCAAATACGAGCGCTACGACGCAAACTGGTACCTTTAGCAGTCATGGGTTCCGCAAAACACACCGCCTAGCTGGGTGGTACCAAGCCGTCACCCGATTTGCAGAACTCAAGCCTTGAACACCGATCTACGAGATAAAGCTCCCTGATAACTCACCAAGTGCCTCGCTCGGCGCCCCACGCCCTCATGGGACCTTTCCTCTGGGTCCGTTCCCGCCATTTGACTGCTCGCTCGGTGACATGTCGGTTCCGGTACTTCCTTGGAAAAAGCTTGAGGGTCGTCCAATGCGCAAAGAATGTGTGCGACAAGGAACCGCACATGCTCGCTTTCACGCTGCCTGCACACACAAGAACACGCCATAAAAGCTCCGAAAAGAAAGGGCTGGAAAAGTACTCACAAAGTAGACTCAAACCCACAGCTAGTTCCATGGGCACGCCGGCACCTGGGACACATTTTGTTTTCCGAAGAACGTTGTTCGATTTTTTTCCAGAAGCCTAAAGGCCTGAAACCGCCCGAAAGTTTGCAGCTTGCTTTGTTTTTGATTTTGGTTACGATGGCGATGCAGCAACGTTCGCTGGGTTGACGACAGGTGTTACGACGAAACTCATTTGACGCAACGTAAATGTTCCTGTTTTAATTGACTTACATTATAACTTTTAAACATAAATAAAAAATGTTTTAACACTTATATATTTGTTTGTAATAAAGTATGTTGGAGTTAATTGTGTACTAAACTAAAGCTTGGCCTGGCTCAGCCTCGTTTTATTTTAACATGGCGGCGACAATCGTTCTCTGTGTGTGCTCTGTGCCGTGCTCGACCTTTTGGCTGTGCATTGGTTGTCCTGTTATCCACCTCCTGCGATCCGCATCAGCCACAAGCGTGCTGTCTAAGTATTGTGTGCCCGCCGGAAAGAATATCCAGTCTTCTCGGAAGCAAGGCTGCAACTAGGGTTGCTCGGATCGTGGCTCGGACGTCGTCGACACATAACATCGCAAAGAGCGAACGCTGCAGCCCCGCAAGACAGTCAGAACGAGTTGCATCACGATGTAGCCCTCGTGCATTCCTCCCGTGGAGTGCTGTCATGTACTTTGCTCTGTCACTTTGATTGGCTCACGGGGGCCATAGCTTTCACCCTTAGCCATGTTATGATGAAGCGGAGGGTAGTATAAGGCGCGTTCCCACCGGCGATGCGATCTAGACGCGCGATAACTTTCATCGCAAAAGCGACCATCGCGTACAAAAAGCGACGCGATTTGAGCGGTCGCTACTCGACGCGATTTTTTTGCAATGCAATCTAGTCGCAGAGCGGCTGAACCAATCAACGGCGTTCGGAGCGAGTTTTCGAGAAACAACTCGCCAACGAAGGCGTTGGACTCTCTCATCGCGCACGCCAGTGTGACCATCTAATATTTTTGCGATGCGATCTAGTCGCATAGCGCGACTGCTTACATCACCAGTGGCAATGCGCCTTAAGAGGGGTAACGAGTTGGATGATGCATTACAACCCAAAAAATTGCAAAAATTAGACGAAGGACGAGTGAGAGGAATGTAAGCGACAAGCGCTGACTTGCAACTGAATTTTTATTAGGAAAAAACATGAAACCCTCCAACCACCAAAACATGAAACACCGCCAACCTTGTCAATGTAATTACAATATTTCTTCGTAACGGTGTCCTTACAAAGCAATATTGTAATCACATTGATAAGATTGGCAGTGTTTGGTGTTTTGGTGGTTCGAACGTTTCATGTTTCTTCCCAATAAAAATTCAGTTGTAAGTCAGCGCTTCTCGTGTACATTCTTCTCGCTCTTCCTTCGTCTCATTTTTGCACTTTTTTTAGTTGTAACAGAATATAGTCTTTGTCGTGGGGAGCTCATTTCTACATCTCGTGACCTTAACAAAACCATTTGAAGGGGTGAGTGCAGACAACTTTCATTAAGTAGATTTTACCATATTTGCCACACAGTTTGGTCTTGAGGCGAATATTAAAGATGCCTATACAACAATGGTTCCATACTTAAAAAATAGGCACAGAATATAAGCCTTTGAACTGTAATTTTGTGGCTAATTACCAAAAAATGTTGCTTCACACCTCTGGAAACAAATAGGCACATATAACAATGTTCAAACTTCCCTTGTACACGACTTGACTGGTAGTCAAAAAGGACAGCACATTCCATAGTAGAAGTTACCAGGGGCATTTTTATGGTCCATTGGCCCCATTATTGCCTGCTCACTAGCCTTTCCTGAAAATACGAAAAAAGGGGTTCAATAAAAAGTAAAAAAAGGAAAGCCGTTTAAAGTAAAAAGTAAAAAAATGAAAGCCCTGTAACACCGAATTAGAGCGCAGCTCTTGAGGAGGGGGGCGGAAGGGTACTGAGGGTCACCTGTTCTCGGGGCGGAGGAGGGGGGGTGTCGCGTGACCCCGGGGGGGGGGGGGGGGGGTGTCATGTGACCTTGGGGGGTCACGTGACCCCCCAAAAAATTTTTCCGCTAGATTTAGCGGGGAATTTTTTTCCGCTAGACTTAGCGGGGAATTTTTTCCGCTAAATCTAGCGGGAAAATTTTTCGGCTAGGCTTAGCGGGGAAATTTTTCCGCTAGATTTAGCGGGGAAATTTACCCATAATGCACCGCGCGGTTACGCCGACGGCAACGCTGACGCCGCTCAAGCCGGAACCGGGAATTTTTTCCGCTAGATTTAGCGGGAAACTTTTTTCGCTAGATATAGCGGGGAATTTTTTCGCTACATCTAGCGGTGAAATTTTTCCGCTAGGTTTAGCGGAGAAAATTTTCCGCTAGATTTAGCGGGGAAGTTTTTCCGCTAGATTTAGCGGGGAATTTTTTTCGCTAAATCTAGCGGGAAATTTTTCCGCTAGATTTAGCGGAGAAAATTTTGCGCTAGATTTCGCGGGGAATATTTTCCGCTAGATTTAGCGGGGAAGTTTTTCCGCTAGATTTAGCGGGGAAGTTTTTCCGCTAGATTTAGCGGGGAAGTTATTCTGCTAGATTTAGCGGAGAAATTTTTCCACTAGATCTAGCGGGGAAATTTTTCCGCTAGATTTAGCGGGGAACTTTTTCCACTAAATTTAGTGGGGAAATTTACCCATAATGCAGCGCGCGGTTACGCCGACGGCGACGCCGACGCCGCTCAAGCCGGAAACGGGCGCCTAAGAGCTGTGCTCTAAAATAAATTTGTTATCAAAAGTGGAGTGCCACTCAAATACAAAAGCAGAGCGTTAAATGTACTTGCACACCTTCTTTCCCACAAATCCACAGTAGGCCAGTTCCTGCCTTTTATGGAGTGCATCCAGTGTACGACGAGGCACCAAGGAAGTGATCTGTGCAAAGAAATTGAACATATCCATGTTGAAATTACGTTCTTAAATTGCATCATACTGTAAGCCCCGTAATCATCTGGGTGCACATTGCAGTGATTGGACTACAATGTGCTCTGCAAGAGGGCAGACATGCATGTATTTTGCAGATGTAGGATATGTATAGCGACGTTAATCACGAAACTGCCAAAGGAAAGTGCAGACATGATGGTGTGCCTTCATGTGTGTGCAGATAGTATATAATCAACATCAGAGTTTATGTATGGTATTAAAAACAACATATTACTGATTAATTGAAATCTTTAATTTTACTGTGCTAAACACTGCGCACTATGTACCTGCTTGAAATCCACTGTAGGAATGCAAATACGGTATAGGCGCTCTTTCGCATTTTGCTCCTGCAGAATCGAGTCCAGCACCAAACTATGTCCCATGGAAGCACTCATTGACAAACCATGATCCACTTCATTCTAAACGCGAGGCTTTCAGCACCCCTGCCAAGCACGCGCGAGCGTGCAGTGCAACCAAAGGTTCAGGGGAACATGCTTGTGCTAGTAGCTTCGGCTACGTTTGCACACGAAGTGAAACAACCATTAGTAGCTTCGATCAAAGCCATTCATGCGTAAGAAAAAAAGAACGTAAAAAAAAATACGATTGATCTTTGGAGAGCAAATCTCTTGGTCTAGTTTATGATTAAAAAAGCCTGACTGAGGAACACATATAAGGGGAAAAACACACGGCCCCAAACATTGCAGGCGTTCTAGCCGAACTCGCTTGCACCCGAGAGACCAAGCAGCCCTCTGACATCGTACCCGGGCTGGACGGGGCGGACTTTCGACGGCGCGGCGTCAGGCCCACACCGACGACACAGCAGCTCCACCGCCCTCACGTTCTCAAGCGTCAAAAACACAATTGTCCACTGTCTCTGAGAGCAGCCCAACACCTAACTTCCAAAAGGTCACTCAACTTCCGGTTCCCGTGTAGCCGTGCTCGATGAAGTGGAGAATAGTGGCGAGCCGGAGGCTGTCAATCGCCGGTCGTAAATCGGGACTCGCACTTGTTTGCTTGCCCAGACTTGAGAGCGGCTCATTCGTGTCCGCTCGCTTCTGATCTTTGCAATTTAAAAGTGAATATAACACTCGCGAAAAGAGAAAGCGAGCGCGGCAGCAGGATAACAGCAGAGACAGCGGCGATACTGGCGGGCCGGAAAAGGCGCCATTGCCTAGAATAATTCTGCAGGAAATACGTATGAAGCTTTTCCTGATATTTCCAGATATTAGCTATTTATTTATAACAATTTCTTTTACAACTGAATATAAAATTTTGCTGAATTTATTTTGTTAGTAACTTGTTAATATTTAGGGTCTACGCGTTTACTTCTCATTTTTCTCATTTACTGCGGAGATGCATGCCTCGGAAGCCAGGGAAGTGCAGCTTCGAGTTTCCTCCTACCATCGCGACGACGCTAACGACGCGGCGCGTTGCGGCAGAAGGGCAAACTAAGTACAGTGTCGGTGCGGCACTCTCAACGGATGGCGCGGTACTCGCCACAGATGGCGTACCCTCCCCTCCAAACACACACAACACACACAAAAACCGCCCCGCCAAAACGGTGCCCTCCTCTCCGTCGTCTTTATTTATTTATTTATTACATGTACCCCACAGCGCCCGTGAAGGCATTATAGTGGGGGAGGGGCAAAAAGAAGAAAAACAAAGGGCGTCACAGAACGTTAAGTAAAAGCACTCGCAGCCTGCAGCAAGGCATAGAACAACATGAAACCAGCCCTGCGAAAATGTAACGCAGAGAAACGCGCTCATTGTTGCACCAATATGCACGTAACAAGAAATAACACATAACGAAGGCAGCATACATTGAGTGCTAAAGGCCAAGCAGAGCTTGAAAAATGTTTGAGTCGTTTTTCTCTAACACTAATTCCTCCGGTAATTCATTCCAGCTCTGAATAGTGCTCGGGAAGAAAGAATGTTTAAAAATGTCAGTTTTGGATGAAAAAGGTCTAAT